TTTTGAAACATGGACAGTCACCATTAGATATGGATATTACCCAAAAAATCTATTCTTAGGCAGAGAATGAGATAATTTTTAAAATAAAAGAATATACATGTGGAAACATATAAATATCTCAGCTAACTAAGCTGGTGAGTTTTTTTAAGTATCAATCTGGGCATATTGAATAAAATTGTCTTAAAGGGCGTATGATTCCAGCTACTTCCTGGTGCTGGTTTAGACATCAACACAACTTCAAGTGCTGGGAAAGCTGCTAAGCACTCACTGAAGTGCAGTGTAGGGGTCTGGGCTCCCATTCACGTGTGGCAACAGACTTTTAACAGGATGCTCTTCTAACTTTGTTTCCCATCAGCAGTCATATTCTTAAAGTTTACTAATGCACTTTATGAAAAATGCAGTATAGGTTGTAAGAAGTGTGGGAGAGAAAGATCACCTCTCAATAACTAAAAAGTCTTGGTGCAGTGGGCTCTTGAGACTCCCACGTCCCACTTTGAAGTCCTTGAGTTTGAATCCTAGCTCCGCTTACAATCCAGTTTCCTGCTGATGTACACCCTGGGAAGCAGTAGGTCATGGCTGAAGGTTTTGGGTCCCTGCCACCAGTGAATGAAGTTCTTAGCCCTTGGTTTCTGACTGCCCAGCCACAGCTGTTGCAGGCATTTGGGGAGTGAACCAACAGATAGAAGAACTCTTTCTATCTGTGTCTATCTGTCTTTCAAATGAAATGGGGAAAAAAAAATGTTAACATTAGGTCTTAATTTATTACTTAGGTAAGGAAGAACTATGCTTTTAGGCACCATCTTTCATAGGAAAGCAGGTTGCAAATCTTATAGAGTTTCAGGGATAAGGAATCATTTAGGGGTTGCCCACCTCAGAAACTCAATTGTTCAAGAGAAACTGTTGCTGATTGGCTGATGTTCAATAACATTTCCCTGAAATGAGTCTGTCACTGACTGGCCAGCTTTTCAAAGGCTTGAGGCCACCCTTATGAGTTGGATTTCAGAGGTGTATTATTGAAGCAAATTGTCACTGATCATTTAGCTATAGGCACGTCATCATTAATTGGTCAAATCCAGTTTAATTGTGTTTCCAGCTGGTTCTAGTGGTTACTTATTACCGTAGAACAATCAGCCTTTTCCTATTTGTTACACACTATTTTATTCTCAGAAACTAGTTCTTAAACACAGTAGATGATTGAAAGCCCAAGAAAATAAGATTTGGGGCCAGGCACTGTGGCATAATAGGTTAAGCCTCTGCCTGTGGCACCGGCATCCCATGTGAGCGCCAGTTCGAGTCCTGGCTGCTCCACTTCTGATCCAGCTCCCTGCTGGTGGCCTGGGAAAGCACTGGAAGATGGCCCAAGTGCTTGGGTCCCTGCACCCACATGGGAGACCCAGAAGAAGCTACTGGCTCCTGGATTCAGATCTGCCCAGCTCCAGCCATTGAGGCCATTTGGGGAGTGAACCAGTGGATGGAAAATCTTTCTCTTTCTCTCTCTCTCTCTGTCTCTGTAATTCTGCCTTTCAAATAAAGAAATAAATCCTTAATAAAGAAGGAAATGTGTTTTTTAAAGCAACAGGAGTATAAAATGTCAGAAACTCATGTATGTGAGATGAGTTTATGTATTGAGATCAGTTATGAAATGAAATTTAATTTGTATTATTAATAATAAAGTATAGAAAAGTGAATGTAATTTGCCTTAGTAAATTAGATTCTAGGTAATTGTCATTTAATAAATTAGATTCTAGGTGATCATACTCATTGCATTAGTAAGCTTTTTCAAGTAGAGTACAAAGAGATGGGAGTAGTGCCTAACCCAGCTTGTCAGCCCTAAGGAGCAGCAGCTACTGAACCCTTAGTGATGGTAGAATTCCTAATGTTGTAATGTTTTATTGCCCTGTCAAAATCTTAAAATATTTTCAAAATCTGAATGTATCCCTAGGAATTTGCCACACAAGTAAATGTGTCTTTTATTCCTGTCAGCAGTTTAGTCCTATCTGTTGCAATGAATAAAGGGATACAGGGTGACCTATTTAAAAATGGTTCAAATAACAAACAACAAATAACTAGACAGAAGAGCCTTAATCATTCCATTCAGTTTGGCTTGCATAAAAAACCTGAACTTTGTCCTTCAAATTCATTCAACTGCACTGAAGTCTGGACTTCTGACTTCCCTGTTTATTCCTGACACCTCCTAATAGGGGCACAGTTAATCACTTACATATTTCTCTGCGGCTAAGGATAGCCAGCTTATGACCACTTAGGATTCAAGCACATGTTGATACCTTAAGACCAGTGAGTGTTTGATAGAGTAGGAAAGCAGCATGGCTAGATTTGTTGTAATCAACAGTAAGAGGAGGAAATTAATCCAGGAAAGTATGCCAAGTGCTTAGTTTGCTTTCTATGAAAACAAATCTATTAACCAGACAACTCCCCAGAAAAGGGAGTCGTGACATGTATTCCTGATACTTGATGCATATAAATATTGAAAACAAAAAAGTCAGGTAGGACTGGGTGTTTCGTCTGGAGTTTTGCTCAGCAACCTGGTACACTGGGCAAGTGTGCTATTCAGGTGAACTTTTGAGGAATACTTGTAGGTAGAAGGTTTGTAAGCTCCCGTCAAGGGAAGAACCTCAGGGAAGACTGAGGCAAAGAAACGCAAACCAGCAGAGCAAACTCCAGATCTGTTTTCCAAATGTGTTTTCTGAGAAGCTGCGTTCTATGTGGTGCAGTCAGTGACAGTGGAGTATAGAATTTTTACTTTCAGTTCTTAAGCCAAAATCACTGACCCATCTGTCTCCCTATTTAGGATGTCCCATGTACTTCAATTTGAAGATAAAAGCAGGAAGGTGAAAGATGCAAGCATGCAGGACGCAGACACATTTGAAATATATGACCCTCGGAATCCAGTCAATAAAAGAAGAAGGGAAGAAAGCAAAAAGCTGATGAGAGAGAAAAAGGAAAGAAGATAAAAGGAGAGCAGGGATAACAAGAACATGCTGGAATGTGCCTGCAATCAGTGGCCTTGCAACAGCCATTGTTCCCAACAGCATCACTTAGGGGTGGGCAAAGATTTTGAACCTGTTGTCTGGTTTTGAAGGACAATTATCTTTGTTTTGTAAATTGTGCAGTGATGTAAGCACATGCTTTTGGTTACTGGTATATGCTTTCTTTTTCCTAATTGACCTTTTATATTGCTAAAACAGAAATAAAATCACTTTCCTTCCCATTTGCGGGTTAGCCATTTACAGATTATGCAAGTCTGTTTGAGTTACATGTGCAGTGTTCCTTTTGAAGATCTCTTTATAAGTTCTCACAGAGTATTTGAGGGAAATCTCCTTGGTACTCACTTTGGGATATAATACAAAATTATAAAATAAAAACATAAATTATATAAATGTGGATGTTTTTGTCTTGCATATAAATATTTTTAAATAGCCTAACGCCTTAACTCTTGAGGAACCCTCAAGAGAGTATTTATACCTCCATCGAGGGCAATACACAGCTTTTCTGGATCAGTCAGGACACTTGAACACTCTGACATCAGGTGAGCCCACTGCAAACCTGCTCTGACGCCGAGCCACCTACCCATCCTCTGCTCTTCTCAGAACAGCAACAGCAGGAGCAAGACTTCAACAGAGATCCGTTCTCGTAGAGAGCTCATTGAGAATTTAGTGTTAGAAAGCAGTCATTCACACTGGTTATTTGCCATATATTCCCTATAGCTTTACTGAGTTTATAATAGACTCTTAGTGCTAAAAATGTACCACAAGCTCATTTTAGTCACCTAAATAAGACCTCATCCACCATTTCACAAATAGCTCATCAGCTCTCTCATTCAATATAAAATCTTTAAAAATTAAGTAATCTAATGGGCTGTCTCTAGAGCAGTGTTTCCAAAATGTAATCCCAGAGGCTACACTATAGGGGCAGCATCACTTCAGGACACATTAGCAGTGCAGATCCTTGCCTTGCTGGCTGTGGCCAGCACCACTCCCTTCCAGAATACTGAATCTGAAACGTGTTAAACTCTGCAGACTTTTTAGACTAATGAGCCTCCCTGCTGGTGGTTCAGCCTCTTTGGGGATTGGCGTTATCCAGTGAAGTTAAAGTACAAATAATGTACATATCCAGTGATCCACAAATTTTAAACCTAGGGCTGAATCCTAAGGAAATTCTTACACATCACTCAAGGAGATAAGTATGTGCTAAGATACACACTGAAGCATCAACCAGAGAACAGATGACTAAGTTGCTGAATAGTTATATTGTGGAATATTTTAGGGAGGTGAAAAGCAATAAATCAGAGCTATACGTATTAATCTAATTTAATGTGAAGAAAAGGAAACCACTCATAAAAATGTTAAAGCATGTGTGGATGTGCACATATATAGTACAAGTATAGAAACAGTGATTACCTCTGGGGAGGAGGAAGGAATACCCAGAGGGATTTTACTTGTGTTTGTAGTGTTTTATTTGCTAAGTCATATAGTGAGTGCTCAATTATCTTTCTCAGTGTACATTTTTATATTCCTAAAATAGTTCAGATTTTTTTTCCTTTATGATCATATCTAGAATCTGAGGTGGAACAGAGGACTCACTACAAGAACCCTTTCTTTTTTGCAGCAGGAAGGAGAAAGTTTCAAAGAGGAGAGGGATAGGACAGAGGCACTCTGGGAAATTGTCAGACCACTCTGATGCATGGTGCTTAGACTCAAAGCCACCCCAAAGTAAGCCAGTGTTTTACATTGTGCGCCTGTCTTCCACTCACCACACAAGTTGTTATTGCAAAGCAGAATTTTGGTTTCCAGACTCACACAGTCTGCTGGTTATTATGAAATGTGTTTACTACTGACTCTGTTTGTGTCGAAGTACCCATAGGTTTCTGCATCATGCCTCCTTGAACATGTGCAAGATTTTCCAAAGAACAGAGGGACCACAGATCTCCAGGGTGCAAGCCAGAGAATAACATTTGTAGGTTTAAAAAGGTAAGTGAATGACAAAAGTAAAGTTTTCATTCTGCTGAGTGCTTTTCACCCTGTTTAGCCTCAAAGAAAAAGATCTGAAACTCCATAAGATTAGAATCTTATCAGAAGAATTTCACCATGATAATAAAATCACCATGAACTTCACTGAACAACGCACTCATTTGAAAAAAAAAAAAAAAAACTTAAGAACATAGTTAAATTATCTGTTAAATATTAACTTAAATGTGCTCATAGGAGAGTCTGTGGAAAGGTCACAGGAATATGTTTAGCCCAGGTGAATTGCAAAAAAAGAAAAAAAAACCCAAAATCGAAAACATGTCAGTAAATCCACTTTTTAAATTTTATTCTCTTGCCCTAGGGATATCATCCTGAGACAGCGAGGCCCAGTAGCGTTCTTCCTCATCATCTGTGACAGCTGGACATCTGGGGAGCAACGACGCAAGCAGCTCCTGGCAACGTTTTCCCTCATCTTGTGACAAGTTAGGCTTTTTTTCCTACTTTGGTTGAAGTTGTTGGCAAGGTGAGAGTTAAAATTAACCCTCAACTTTTTTCTCTGTAGGTGATCTAAGCGAATGTAGATCTCTCTAGGATTTTGTAATGGTGTAATATCAAAATGTACATGTCACATGCCCTCAGCTCTCTGCATCCTCTGAGGCCACACAGTCGGTAATGCATCCAAAAATGGGGACGCCATAGAACAAGGTCATTGAAAAGTGTGAGGAGATGAGTGGTTTGCTGCTGTTGTTTTTAGAACAAGTGCAGTAAGCTCTGGTGGGTGTCTATCCAACTGTCACACCAACTTTCTTGATAAGATCTGACGTGTGAAGTACATAAACCTGTTCTGTTGTATCAGTGTGGCCTGTATGGAAAAGGTTAGATAGATGCAGAATATTGCCCAAACATGCTGTTTAATCTTGGTGATAACAGGAAAGAAAATGGAGGTGTGAAGTCAGAAACCATTGAGGACAGTATCAGTATAAGCAATTTGTATGTGTGGGGTGTAGAGAAGTTAAGAGGGGTTACATTCTTTAGCACTGTCATTCACAAAAAAGGAGCATGTCTCTCTGTCTCTATGACGCTGCCTCTTCCAAGAACCCTGAACGGTTTATCAGGTAGTACCAGTTCTGCCTACTAGAAAGCAGGAGGTATATTTTATCTCCTTTCTGCTTTTAGCCTTCAATGAAAAGAAATAAAAACAGTGACCACATAGTTGAAAAATCCTTTCTAATGAAGAGTTGATGAAATTTGAATTCCCATAGAAATAAGAGAACCCCAAACTTTACTGGAATGGTATTAGAAATCCCGTGTTCATAGAAATACTCATTTAGTCCCAAAATCCCCCTAGCCAGAGCCATAGCTGAGTATCTTTGTCACAGGTACTTAGAGGAGTTTCATTAATCCCTGTGGAGACTTACTTTCACTGATAGGCCAGTAAACCATATCCTTAAAAAGGGAAGTCTTGGTTTGTAGCACTTGCTGGTTTCCATGTTGTTAAGTACCTCACTGCAGCAGGTTTCAAGCCACCAAAGGTAGCTCCAGTTTACAACTGGTTATTTTTTCATCCTGCTTCATTATGAGCTAAAAATCTTACCCAACAGCTCTCACATTGGCACTAAGGAATTCACATAAAGGTTGTAACCCTTTGCCAGGCTCACGGTTGTCACGCACGTTTCTATTTATAAAGGTGGTTGCTCCACCATTTGGGCAAGTTCTAAGTTTCAGCAATGTGTGCATCCTATGCTTTTGTAACTAGTTGGTAGTCTTTTTTTTTTTTTTTTGACAGGCAGAGTGGACAGTGAGAGAGAGAGAGACAGAGAGAAAGGTCTTCTTTTGCCGTTGGTTCACCCTCCAATGGCCGCCGCGGCCGGCGCGCTGATCCGATGGCAGGAGCCAGGTGCTTCTCCTGGTCTCCCATGGGGTGCAGGGCCCAAGCACCTGGGCCATCCTCCACTGCACTCCCGGGCCACAGTAGAGAGCTGGCCTGGAAGAGGGGCAACTGGGACAGAATCCGGTGCCCCAACCGGGACTAGAACCTGGTGTGCTGGCGCCGCTAGGCGGAGGATTAGCCTAGTGAGCCGCGGCGCCGGCCATTTTTTTTTTTTTTTTTTTTTTTTTTTTTTGGACAGGCAGAGTTTACAGTGAGAGAGAAAGACAGAGAGAAAGGTCTTCCTTTTCCATTGGTTCACCCTCCAATGGCCGTGGCGGCCGGTGCGCTGCAGCCGGCGCACCGCGCTGATCCGATGGCAGGAGCCAGGTACTTATCCTGGTCTCCCATAGGGTGCAGGGCCCAAGGACTTGGGCCATCCTCCACAGAGAGCTGGCCTGGAAGAGGGGCAACCGGGACAGAATCCGGCGCCCCAACCGGGACTAGAACCCGGTGTGCCGGCGCCGCTAGGCGGAGGATTAGCCTAGTGAGCCGCGGCGCCGGCCAGTTTGTAGTCTTAAAAGGGAATCTTTAGTTCCCTGTTGATGAAATTTTCCAAAAACATTTGCCTCGCATCTATCCTCCTGCTTGTCTTTTTTTTCGCTCTCTTTGGTCATGTGTCCAATTCAAAAAAGCATCTGAATCTCCCAGCACAGAAAAGCGGAGGGAGGAGGGAAATGGAATGATAGTTCTTTGAATCGTTCCGTGTAACAATTCCCTATATATAACAAGTTCCCCAAATTCATTGTTTATTTTTTTTAAAATATAGCATTTGGGGTCATGGGGTGGGAAATCCTAACTGAAAAGACGGGGTCCTAAATGAAATGCAAACAGGAGTCTGGTCTCTTCCGCATCTGGGGGGAATTAATCCCTGCAGATTAGATCATGGGATTAATTCACGTCAGTTGACCAGCAGAAACCTCTTCTGGAGGCTTTATCACAGCACCAATCCAAAAGAAGGTGTCCGTGGTCTTTCAGAAAAGTAGTATCTTCTCATTTTGATGATACCAAAAAGTGATAGGCATTAATAAAGTTCTGACACTTTAAAAAAAAAATAATCAGTATAATTTTGAAAGCAAAAAAAATATTCAGTGACTCTCCCAATTTTGTTCTGAATTTAATCCCATTGGAGATAACAATATATTTGAAATGAAGGGTATCACATATAGAAAAATAAATGACCAAAGGATATGTTTAACTAACAGTTATGGGTAAATTTATTATTTGTGAGTTTCCTTCTCTTTATTGTGTGGAATGTGTAAGTTGTTCCATAATTTACAATTTTTTAAAAGATTTATTTTTATTTATTTCAAAGAGCTAGAGAGAGAGGTAGAGACAGAGAGAGAGGTCTTCCATCCGCTGGTTCACTCCCCAGATGGCTGCAACGGCCAGAGCTGAGCCAATCCAAAGCCAGGAGCCAGGAGCTTCCTCTGGGTCTCCCACGTGGTTGCAAGGGCCGTAGGACTTGGGCCATCTTCTACTGCTTTCCCAGGCCATAGCAGAGAGCTGGATCAGAACAGAGCAGCCAGAACTAGAACTGGCACCCATATGGGATGCCAGCACTTCAGGTCAGGGTTTTAACCTGCTGCACAACAGCGCCAGCCCCATAATTTACAATTTTTAAGGAAATACATTATTTAGGATAAGAAGAATGTTACCATTGTATTCCTTTCTAAAGCTTTATAGTAATACTATATTAATTGGTGTAAATGAATGCAATGATTAAGAATAAATACTATCTCACAAGCAACCAAAGAATTCAAAGGTTATTTTTTAAAATGATTTATTTACTTATTTCATAGAGTTACAGGGAGAGAGGGAAAGACAGAAAAAGAGAGGTCTTCCATCTGCTGAAGCCAGGCTGAAGCCAGGAGCCAGGAGCTTCATCAGGGTCCAACAAGTGGATGGCAGGAGCCCAAACACTTGGACCATCTTCCGTTGCTTTTTCAGGCCATTAGCAGGAACTGGATCACAAGTGGAGCAGTCAAGACTCAAACCGGTACCCATATGAGATGCTGCATTGCAGATAGCAGCTTTACCCATTATGCCATAATGCCAACTCCCAATGGATGATTTTTTAATGTAGAAGTTATTCCTAATATTAGATGAGGGCTAGGTCTATTTCAGAATGAAATTTCATATTGCCCATTAAACCTGACATGTCCAGAACTGAACTCTCATCTACACTGACTAGCCCTGCCACACCAAACCTGCTGCATCTGCCGTTCCCTAATCTCTGGTACTGGCGATGCCATCTCTCCACTCGCTGTGGACAAACAGCTTAGATTCCTATCTCAGCCTAACCCATCTGGCCCATTATGATATTCTGTTGGCTCTACCTTTAAGTCACATCCAAAATTTCACCACTGTTCACTGGTACCATCCTAATGAAAGGGACCAACAACTTTCGAGTGACCTACTAGAGCAGCACCAAAACTAGTCTCCTTGCTTTCCCCTTTGTTTCCAGTGATCTTTTTATGAACACAAGAGCCAACTCAAGTCACAATGTTATACTTCTCTATTTAATAGCTTTCAATGACTCCTCATTTAATTCAGAGAAAGGCCATGTCCTTACCGTGGCTTACAAGATTCTATGTCATTGCCACTCCTTCCCCTCAGTCGCTCTGACCTCATCTCTCACTACCCTCTCCGTCACTTAGTCTTCACCAGCCACACTGTCCTTCCTACTCTAGGAGTGAAGCATCTCAGGGCCCTTGCACTGGCCATTCCCTCTGGCTGGAATACACCTCCCCAGGATGTGCACCTATTGACTTCCTCAGTGCTTCAGATCTCTGCTCAAACAGCACCTTCTCAATGAGATCGAAAGTGATCACTTTTAATAGTACAAAGTACTCCTCCCCACACACTCAGTCTCTCCGTCCCTGCTCATATGTATTCAATAGGACTATTGACCCCTCTATTAGCTTGTTTAATTCTTACAAGCAGCCCCACGACATAGGGACTCCTGTTATCCAGTTTACAGATGAAGAAACTGAGCCTTAGAGAAGCTAATTACTCATTTATTACTCATCTATTTATCATCCCTCTCCTGCCCTTGAAGAAGGCCAGGATTTCTGTCAGTTTTATTCTATCTTGTCGTAGTGCCAGAGAACCATAACTAAAAAATAGGAGACAGTAAATTTTTATTAAATTAATGAATAAATAATGATATTTCAAAAAGAAAAAAAACCTGGGTATCCAATATAGGGCTAGTGTGTAATTGTAGCAGGGTATCATCACTGTTTCATAAACAGAACATTTTTAGTTTACACTAAAAGGAAGGCCATCAACCTCAGTTAATAATGAGATAAAGGTAGCGTCAGGAAAACTTCACCACACTGTTCTTTTCTTAACACTTTGTCACTGATGGACAAGGACCCACAGACCAGTTTTGGGGAAACACTGATCCACAGAAAAATATACTTCTACCTATATTACTTCGGCCGGCGCACCGCGCTGATCCGATGGCAGGAGCCAGGAGCCAGGTGCTTTTCCTGGTCTCCCCTGGGGTGCAGGGCCCAAGCACCTGGGCCATCCTCCACTGCACTCCCTGGCCACAGCAGAGAGCTGGCCTGGAAGAGGGGCAACCGGGACAGAATCCGGCGCCCCAACCGGGACTAGAACCCGGTGTGCCGGCGCCGCTAGGCGGAGGATTAGCCTAGTGAGCCGCGGCGCCGGCCCAAGAAAGCAACATTTCAATTCCTGAGTCCAGAAAGAAATGAGGGCCAACATAGAATCTATAGAAAACGAGGCTAAAGGCTTCAGACCTGCAGCTGATGTAACTCCTCTCTGGTGGTGACGATAACAGCTGCCTTACCTACCTAGCAAGGTGCTGTCACAGTCAAAGGAAAGAACAGACAAGAAAACCAAAGGTTAAACCCCGATCATGATGCGTTTTAGCACTTAATGGATCCTTGTTTTATGTCAGACACTCACTCTTCTGACATATAAGCCGAGCTATGAAGGACACTCTATTCTCATCTCCAGTTCACAAATGAGAAAGAGACTTAAGGCTTGAAGAAGTTAAATTATTTGCCGGGCCACACAGTAAGTAGAGGAGCTAGAATATAAACAAGAGTAAATTCCTAGGACTTCCGGCCTTGATCCCTGGACTATTGAGCTCCTCACTACACTACCCAGATTGTTTTTATGATACACCTTTTACTGAGCTGTAGAGTTTATAATACAATGGGTACCTCCTTCTCTCTTTTCCTTCTTCACCCCTTCCCTCCAGTCTGTCGGGTTTCCCCCAATAAACTCTTTCCCTCCTCCCCCCCCAAAAAAATATATATAGATATAATGGTTAGATGAAGAAGACAGTGTCCCAAAATAAAAACAGTGACTTCTGTTTGGAGGGGCCAGGAATTTTATATATATATATATATATATATATATACACACACACTTTGTAAATGCCAGGATAAACCAAGAGCTGGGTCTAGTGCGATTAACGTAGAGCTGTTTCACAGCAGAAGGAGTTTTGACTGTAATTTGGCAGGAAAGGAGAACATGGCACTGAGGAGACAGGTCATGCTCCAGGTGGACAGCAGGTTGTGCAGACAAGCTATTAAGACAGATGGAGGAGACAGCAATGTGTCTACATGATGCCAAAACATCTGGCCAATTCAGCTTAAAAAAAAAAAAGGAAAGCTCCATCAATGTAGTGAATTTCTTCAGTCAATCCAGATGTTTGGCATCTTGTAGACAAAACATCCAGATGATTAACTGAAGATGTGACAGAGTTGACTGGATTAACCAGATGTGATAGCATTGTATAGACATAGTGTCAGACATTTGCTTGGCCGGCGTGGAGTCCAGCTGGAAAGGAGATAGGTGGGCTGGGCAGTGAGAGGGGCTTTGCAGCAGAGGACTTGGAGCTTAGATTTGATGCAACTGGGAGCTGCTGGAAGAGCAGTGAGATGGGAATGATGCTCAAGGAAGAGGATTCTGTGTGGAGAGAAAGCGAAAAAAAAAAAATCAGGAAGAGTTGTAGACAGGAAAGAGAATATTAGGAGAGTGCAGGTGTGTGTGAGGTAATTAGAGCCTGGACCAGAAACAGGCTTGGGAAGGCAACAGGAAGAAGTGGATCTGAAAAACATTATAGGAAAAGAACAGGAAGTCATGATGGGCTAGACAAGGGAGTGAAACTGCACATCACCCCAAGGTTGGAAGCCTCGAGGCCTGGGAAAGCAGCTGCCGTGGAATCACCACAGTGGTAAACCAAGAAGGAATTCCCAGGAGCCCCCCCACACACAGCCCTCCATCCAGAGGCCACAGGCAGAGCTGCAGGCAGGGACCGTGGAGAACACACACACAGCCCTCATGGACATTTTAGAGCTACCTAAATAGATTTTTTTTCAAATCCAGTTTCATGAATGGATCAAGAATGCTTGATTCAGAATATCAAGTAGATACAACTTCAGTGAAAAGTCTGTAAAGGCAGTATTTTAATAACAGTTGCTTTTAGGCAGTATGCCATGTAACCAGGAGGTGTAGGGTGTAAGTAAATTACTAGAAATGAGATTATCAGAAATTGTACACTATGTGTATTACTTGAAAGATTAGTATAATAGGGGCCGGCACCGTGGCTCACCTGGTTAATCCTCCGCCTGCGGCACCGGCATCTCATATGGGCGCCGGGTTCTAGTCCTGGTGGCTCCTCTTCCAGTCCAGCTCTCTGCTGTGGCCTGGGAGTGCAGTGGAGGATGGCCCAAGTGCTTGGGCCCTGCACCCGCATGGGAGACCAGGAGGAAGCACCTGGCTCCTGGCTTCAGATTGGCACAGCGTTCCAGCTGTGGTGGCCATTTGGGGGGGGTGAATCAACGGAAAGAAGACCTTTCTCTCTGTCTCTCTCTCTCTCACTGTTTAACTCTGTCAAAAAAAAAAAAAAAGATTAGTATAAGAAAAGCCAATTAGCAGGCAAGAATTAATCCAAGCATTTATAATATTTTTAAAATCCTGAATTTATGCAACCTTAGGATATGCAACCTTAGTCTTGTTTTAGACATTTCACAGAATTTTTTAAATTCCAACTATCTTACTTACTGAGAATCAAGTTTATATTTAGAGACAGCTACAAATTCCAATTTATTAGGATGCAAACAATGATAGCTGTATGATAGAGTATACACAATTTTTTTAAAAAAATCAATATATTCATGTACTATAAACTAGATTGAATCTTAAATATAATTAAAAGGGGCCGACGCTGTGGCTCACTTGGTTAATCCTCCGCCTGCGGCACTGGCATCCCATGTGGGCACCAGTTCTAGTCCTGGGTGCTTCTCTTCCAGTCCAGCTTTCTGCTGTGGCCCAGGAAGGCAGTGAAGGATGGCCCAAGTGCTTGGGCCCTGCACCCGCATGGGAAACCAGGAGGAAGCACCTGGCTCCTTAGAGGCCATTTGGGGGGGTGAACCAATGGAAGGAAGACCTTTCTCTCTGTCTCTCATTGTCTACAACTCTACCTGTCAAATAAATAAAAATAAATAATTAATTAAATATTTAAAATTTTAAAAACAAAAATCTTTAAAAGTATTCATGTAATGCAAGGTTTTGCAGATTTGTAGTTTCAAATATTTTAAGCTCTAGGTAAGCTTCAAAGTAAGCTAATCTCTGCTTTGTTCATGGTTCGATACTGAATTGAGAATCAGTCTCTCCCCTGCCTATCCATGCCTACTCACCAGAAGAGAAACAACACAGAATACAAGATCATAAATGTATTAATGTGCAGAGGAAGGAGAGAGGGAGAAAGGAGGAGAAGGAGGGCTGGAAGAGGACGGAGAGGGAGGAGACAGAGGGAGGGAAATACTGGAAGACCCAGAGACTTTACACTCCAAATAAATGAATAAATATATTAATGGGCTTCAGATTCACCCTGGAGGACTGCGAGGGTCCAGGAATTTTGTCAGAATCAGTTTCCCAGGCCTCAGAAGTGACAAGTCCCTGGATCTGGGGCCGGGGTCCAGGAATGAGTTGTTTCTGTGTCTTAATGTGCTCCCCCGACTGATCACTTAGATGGATGCTGCCCTAAAGCTGAAAGCCAAAGAATGAAAAACATGGAAAGAATATGAGACTCTAAAATGGCAGAATAGACTTAATTTTTCTTCTCAACCAAGAGTCGATTTCCCTTATGTCTCCCTTTATGTACTTGAACTCCTAGGTAATTTCACAGTGTTGTTGATATGCAGAATGTTTCACAGAAAGTGCCCGAAAGTCAAGTACAGCTATGTAATCAACCTGAGCAGCCAAAAGACAAATAGGACAGCGTGTCCTCAATTCCCAGCATTGCCTACTACCTCCTGCCTGAAAGCAGTGTTTACATGATGGGGAAATGTACCTCATGATCTCAGGCTTTCTAGTTCTTCAAGGCTAAGTGAGTCACTTATTTAGGTTCACTAAAACAATGAGTGATTTATACAGGTGTTTGAATATATCCTCCCCATAGCCATCATTGTATGAGAAATGCCTCAAAGTTAGAACATAGCAAACTAGTTATGCAAAAAGCTAATCAGTGAAATGCTCCCCCACCCCAAGTATAACATTAAAATGAGCATGTTTGTTTCTCCACACGTAATCTTCTAGATGTCTCTTTTTGGCAAGACAACTGTATTTACAAGAAAGATTGGTGGATTTTTTTTTACCCTTGAAACTATGGGTTCATTTTCCTTAAACTCAACTCATTTTCTTAAACATTTTTTGCCCAAGGATATAGGAAAGAAAATAAGAAATTGGAAGAATTTTATTAGAGGCTCTTTATTCCCTGAGCTGTCACAGTTGAAAGTCAAATCTGCTTTTAACTTACTTTGAATAATACTTTTGAAGTACATCAAGAATTTCACCTGCAAACCAAGGAGTTTTGACTTGAATAGTAACTTTTTCCCACTTACCTAGTGGCACTCACCTAGTGGCACTTTCAAATCCCATTCAGCAGTCACAGGCAAATGGTATCAGTCCTTACTGAGAGTATTGCAACAAGATAGGATTGCAACAGAAACCCCTTGGGAATTTTCAGAACATTAATTACTCATGTTATTTTTTTTTCTTTTAAGGTTTATCTTATTTATTTGAAAGCCAGAGTTACAGAGAGGCAGAGGCAGAGAAAAAGAGGTCTTTCATCTACTGGTTCCCTCCCCCAAATGACCGCAACAGCCAGAACTGAGCTGATCCGAAGCCAGGAGATTGTTTTGGGTCTCCCATGCAGGTGCAGGAGCCCAAGGACTTGGGCCATCCTCTGCTGCTTTCCCAAGCCATAGCAGAGGACTGGATCAGAAGTGGAGCAGCCAGGACTTGAATCAGCACCTATATGGGATACCAGCGCTGCAGGCCAGGGCTTTAACCCACTGTGCCACAGCGCTGGCCCTAGTACTTGTGTTCTGATACAGGTTAGTACAAAAAGAAAAATTCATTCCCATTTATCTTGTCCCCCACATAAAAATACTAATCTTCAAAGCCTCTACTTAAACCATAATATTGATAGGGATAAGAACCACACAGAAGATTCTTCATTGGGGTGAATCGTTGGTTCTACCATTTTAAATTGCATGAAATGACTTTTGAGTACTGTATTTTTTCCCTCAGACATGTTCTAGCCCATAAAGTGTCTTTACATGAATTGAAGAGGGACCCATTTCTCTCATTTTCCTACATGAGTCAGAAAATTGTGATAATACTTTGATTTTCTTTGAACAAAACATCCTACTGAACCTGCAAGAAAAACTGTCATAATATCAAATAATAAATATCAGATCTATGCTACGATATGACTTGTATCCTTTTAGACCTGGTGCCCTTGTTCAGTGCTCAGCTGCGCAGCCCTTCCTCCCCTCATCACTGCCAGCCAGCCCAAATGCTCTTTAGCTCTTCTCAAAGATCTTCCTGCCAAATCCAATTCCATGTTTTCAGAATTTTCTCCTCCTTCTCATAAACCTGACTCTGTTCTGTACTTTTCCTACCTGTAGTCCTTGTCCTGTACCTGATTTCTGTGGACTTCATTCTTAGGCACTGAGATAGAATGGCCATTGGAGCAAAGGTGTGGAGTAGGTGGAAGCTGCAGTGTTGTGCTCCATCTGACTTGGCCTGTGCCAATTCACTATAACCCGCAGCCAACAGTCCAAATACTTGTCTTCTTGTAAGCACTTTAAACACAGGCATCCAGATTTAATGACAAGAATTTGTGACTTGGGCCATAGATATTCCGTCTCATTTGCAGAGGCTCATGTCTTATCCATGAAGAAGACTTGGAAGTTCAGACTTGCAGATAACTAAAGAGACTTTAAGTGCAACCTCTGTCTAGGACTCTGCCTCTGGTCCCCAGTCTTCTGAATCACAGGGAAGACAGCTCTTCACCAAGCCCGCAGTCCATTGGCCACCCGGTAAAATGAGGAGCGAAGACATTCCTCCCAGCCCTGTGGGGTATATGAGTATTAAATGTGACTCTTCGAGGGCTGGTTATATGACATTTTCTTGACCTTCTGGACTGGGAGTTCATCGTGTTCCTGATGACATGATGACATTCTGATATGGCCATGACCTGCCAGTTGCTCCTGGAGAACTTTCACTGTGGGAATAATATGGATAATGTATTTAGTTCCTCTCTCCAAAGCAAAGCTTTGCTAGCAAGGATTAATAATGCACTAGAATGGTACACTTCTCTGCCTCCTCTCCTGAAATATCCAGAACACTCCATGTCTCCTGAGGCTAATTGGTTAATAACAGAGCTTTCTTTTTCCCTCCTGACAATCCCATCAAGAACTGCCTGAAGAAGAGACAGCTTCCAAAATCTGTGGTGGCCAAGGAAGTCTGCCAGCAGCTGAATGCCAGCTCTCTTTGCCTTCTAGTCTGCATTTTCCTTACTGTCGGTGAGTAAGACTTATCCTGCCAATAGGGGGGGATGTTTTATTTTGTTTTGTTTGCAAGTGTACTTTTCTCCAACCACCTTATGTGCTGGAAGCACGTTAAATATTGACCTAAAAATGTTAAAACACCTTCAAGAACCAAGCAGTTTTCTTTTCTTGGCCAATATAATCGGGGCAAGATTTGGCATTTGCATGGTGATCTAAAATTACTACAGGCTAGGAAACGGCCTTGGTGGTTACTGACCTATGTCTGGTTAAACCTTAAGGAAACTGCTTCCATGATAGGACTCAAATGCTTCAGAATTTGTTGGAATGTGGTCAACAGAAAAATAAAATTTCAAATCCCGGTTTACTTGCCTGAAGGACTTCCATGAGGTAGAATAAGTCTACAGGAAACAATTCCATCTTCCAGAGTGAATATTCACTCATTTGCTTTTCCAGCCAGGAGTTTGGAAGAAGCCAGCAGGCAGTGCAGTCATTTGGTAATGTCTTTCCCAGTGCCAAGATGGATTAATGCTGGGAGATCTTACAACTGGTGAGTAATCAGTAGTGCTTGCAGACCCTCCAAAATCCCCAAGGTGTGATTATTCTCATACGTAGGTTTCTGTCATCATCCTCCAAAGGGTGCTTTGTCATTTCCTTTACTCTTCCCTCTCTGGGCCCTCAAGTCCGGATCGCAAGGGTGACACAGTTTCCAGGTCATTGCCAATCTTCTCAAACCAAGTTGGTGAGCACTTTGAGACAGTGCTAAAATGTGAGGGTCATGCTAGCAAAATTACATTGGTTTCCTTTTAAATGATTCTGGAAAGCAATGAATAGCTATTTATTAAAATGTGATTCAGGGCCCAAATCATACTCTATGTCCATTACCTTGGTTTATTATGCTCCTACCTAATCCTCAGGCTGATATTAAGATGGCATGGACCTACGAAGTTTTTATCCTCTGAACTATCAAATTCAAATATGTAAGATTTGGGGCAGGTAGGTGGCACAGTAGGTTAAACCGCAGCGTGGGATACCCATAGCTCACATCAAAGTACCTGTTGAAGTCCTGGCTCCTCCACTTCTGATCCAGCTTCCTGTTTATGCATCCTGGGAGGCGGCAGGTGATAACTCCAATGCTTGGGCCCCTGCCCCCCACATGAGAGATCCTAATGGAATATGAAGCTCCTGGTTTCAGCCTGGCCCAACTGTGGCTGCTGTGGGTACTTGGGGAGTGACCCAGCAGATGGAATTTTTGGGAAACTAGGCCAAATACATTCCAGAATCTGAGAAGCTCTTATCAGCAGCCCCACTGTGTTGCCTAAACTGAGTTTTGCTCCTGATTTGAGGTAGCCAAGCCACAGGCCAGTGGCTTTGCTCTGGCTAATGTCAGAATCACCCAATATCTTTGAAAAACACAGATATCTATCAACCCTAGGACTCTGCATTCTTAAGTGGCCGGGGTGATTGCAATGATGATCCCAGTTTGAGAAACTCTGATTTGAGCAGCTTCCAAACAGCCCTATCTGTTCCTGCCTTGTCTTGGAACTGGGTGAGCTTTTCTGAACCACATAGACCTGCTGCTGTTTTTCCTAAACCCCGTTCGTTGTTGACTCTGGTTACCATGAGCTCCAAACAGGTCACAGGGAATCAAGCTGCTGCTGAGGGCTTAGGAACCCCTTCTCCCCACACCCAGCCCCTTGAGCCAAAGAAATACAAGTAAGAGAGAACAAGAGTTGTAGAATCAGTAGCAGCTAGTGTGGAACCATGGCTGTGAGCTCCAAAGATTTAAAGGCCTGAGACTCCAGCCTTGATCAAAAGCAGATAAAAGGCCCTTCTCCCTGCCAAGGCGATCTAACATGCTGTAGCACTTACTGTACTGGTGAAGTTCATAAAACAACCCTGATGAGGCCTTTGTTTTCTAAGAGAAAGGAAAAAAGAAAAGGAAAAGGCTGGGCCAAGGCTCCATGCGCAGGGTAGTCCGTGTTGCAGGCTCTGGAGAAGCAGCAGTTCTGCCCACCTGCACCCAGACTGGGCTTTATCTCCTTTCACCTCCAGGCTCCAGGTACTTTCCCTCTGGGCTGGGGCCTCTGTGGCGCCCTGCTCAGCATCTGCCTGAGCTGCCAGACAAGAGTGGGGAGGCTGACCAGCAAGCACTCAAGTGGGAGCTCTTTCGTCAGGACTGACCGGGAAGCTAAGCTGGAGGAAGAATCTGACACGAGCAAGGCCACGAAGGCAAGGTGGGGGTACCCCTCACTCCAAAGGCTCCTCCGTGGCTTCTCCTCCCGAGCCGGACCCAGGGGCCTCGCACGAAATATGTTCTTGTTCCTACTTGCACCTAAAACCTGTCTGGCTTCACCCAGAAATAATTCTCAGCGGACCTGAGGAAACGTCACTGCCCAGTATCCTTTGACATCTCAGACAACCCGAGTGATGTTCTCACTTTCTCCAGGGCACACCTTTTGTGCAAACTCTCTCAGGACAGCCGTGAGGGGAAGCCTGCGTACACCAAAGGCTCCTGGTCCCTATTCTGCTCCTACCGGTGGGGAACCGCACCCCAACACCCGCCATCCGCCGCTGACAGAACCGCCGAGCCGGGACTGCGGTACTCTGACGACGGGAAGAAACCCTTAACACGATTTTAAGGAAAAGAAGATCATGAATAAACATGGGGCGGTAGCACCCACGTCGTTACAACAGGCGGCGGTGAAACCCTATACTTTTAATAAGAATGCGCCCTCTCTCGAAGGATCTTCCAGTGACGGGCCAGGACCTGATTTACCCATTTCGACTCTGGTATTAGACTACGTCTCAGCCAAACAACTGCCTCACCACCGCAGTGACTGTGACCTTTCAGAGCACGGCTGGGCGCGGCGCGACCTCGGCCAGTGCATTAAGAAACCTGCGCCGAGAGCGGACAGACAGCGGCCTGCTGGGGGCTGCCGCGAGCCCGGCCTGCACGCTGCTGCGCATGCGCCCCGCGTGCCACGCGCGGCTCCGGGACCCTCTCGGGGGAGGGGCGGGGCGGGGCGTGAGCGGCGGTCGCCGGCTCCGCCTCGGCGTCTGGGAGCGCGGTGTCGTCTGGGGCACCCTCGCCTCTCACCCCGACCGGAAGTCTGCTCAGGGATTTGTCCCGACGTCGTCGTTAATTAGCGCTTTGTGGTTTGCATAGGGTGACGTCATCTCTGCTCCGCTGCGCCCGGCCACGCTGGGGCCTGGGTCGGGGAGGCTCCCCCGGGACCTCGCTCCCCGGCGCCCGGCCCGGGGCCTGCATTGTTTAGTGCTACTGCTGGCTGGTTAAGTGCGCAGCATCGAGGTTTTCTCCCCCTTTTTCGGAGTTGGAAACACAGGACATGCCCTCTTAAATGTCTGAGCCTCCAGGCTGTCTACCTCTTCATTCTGACGCACTTCCTTCCAGCCTCCCGCCCGCGTTTCTTTGCGGCTGTCTTTCAGGTTTTTCACATTGCTTAGCTACAGTCGTTTTATAAATATGTCACCTTGTGTCCTACCTTTTTAGCTTAGTATTGTAGCAGCAGTATTGCACATAGCTTCCCTTTAAAAGCTCCCAAAGAGTCCCTTTAGTGGAGATGGCATCAGATACTTAGACGTTTCCCTTCGTGGAAACCGGAGATGTCTCTAGGTTTTTGCTAGCACATGGCCAAACCTCCACGCTTCCCCACGCTTGCCCAGGTTTAATGGTTCATGAGACATGATGGGGCATAGGCTGAGAGACCACACCTTGAAAGTGTGATGTTCTGCCTTGCTGATGGTGGGGAGCAAGGGTGGAGATTGCCTGCCTGCAGGGTGAGTTTTTGTGCCTTTGCCATGGGGATAGAGTCAGAAAAGAGGGGAAGCCAGCATCTGTCCTCATGAAGATAAGTGCCGATGAATCTGGGAACACTGATATTGAGCACTTAGTTTTAATTCTCTTAGTCACAGCCTCCAGTGTTCTGGGGGAAATCGTCCTTGTCCCTTTTCCTAAAAGATGGGAGAAGTACAGGAGAAAGCACTGGGCCTAAGGGAGGAAACGGTAGCACCACGCAGTGCATTTTCTGCCCTGCCGTGCTCTGGCCCTTTTCTGTAAGGAGTCTTCGCCCCCACTTCCTGTAAGAGCAGCACAGAGTTTCTGTAAGATGCCAGATTTCTGGGATAAGCAGAGTCCTGAGCCATCAAAACCGTCTGTGAGCTCCTGCCTAGGCCTCCTCTTTTATCTCTTGCAGATCACCCTGTTTGATAGTTGTGACACTGGAAGGGAATGGTGGAAGAAAGGCTGGTGGTTTGAGAATAGATCAGCCTCCCAGGGCCTTTGTCTGGAAGATCTCACACACTCTACCATAGTTGGTGCGGTTAGCGAAGGCCACGTGACTCTGCTAAGAGTGACTGTCAGCGCTGGGAGATCACTGTCCAACCAGGGAGTGAGCAGGAACAGCATCACCCTCTTTGCTGCCTGGCAACTTACTTTTATCAGACAAAATGTGACCCAGACTCTCCAGCCAAGCCAGTTTTCAGTATTGTGTGTTTCTGTGAGGAAAGCTCCGTTGACCAGATGGCCACATGCTGCATCCTGGTTGCAGGTCACAGCACAAAGCAGGCAGTTTCGTGTAATTGATGTGTTCTTTGCAAGGCAGCTCTCCATTCCTGACGCATGTGAGACGTAGCAGTAAAGCACTGACATAATGTCAGGAGGGAGAGGCTGGTCATGGTGGCTCTCTCTGCCACCAGAGAGAACCAGAAGAGGCGCCTGCTGTTCCCCCAACCCCTTTGCAGAGCAGCTCCCTCTACGACAATGCAGTGGTCACCTCCTTCTGGCCCACTGCCTCCCCCCACACACACACACTCTCCACCTGGAAGGAAGGCAGATCACCGTGTCTCCACAGGGGGGTTGCTCTTGCAGGAGACCCAGCCCTCTGAGGGCAACACCCCAGACCTGGCTGCCAGCAGCAAACACACCAGCTCCCAGTTCTCCCCAGGTGCTCATTTCAAAATACCCATGGATTCTCCATGCTTCCATTTTTGGAGGACGGTTTCCTTGTTGCTGTCCAGCTCACACAGGATGGGGAAAAAGCCAACTCCCGTCTCATCATGTCCAGTGAGGTCAGTCCCTCCAGGCCTGTGCTCTCAGCATCCCTTCCTCCGACAACATTCTCTAGGCATTGCTGACCCTGCTGTGTTCTGACTGTTAAAAGGTCACCTGCGTTTTGAATTCTTTCCACTCTCCTCCCAGTTATTTGTGATAGCCTCTTAGAAGCTTAAAAATAACATCTATTCCCCAAGTGGTTTTGTGTATTTCCATTTGGCAAAACTTTATTTTGTTCCATGTGTTTCTAAGGGAACAAAAATGAAAATGGTTTATGTCCTGCTTCCTACAGTGGCTTGACTGATGTTGTCAGAATTGGAATTGTCCCTCAGTCCAGATTGGGTACACCCAACCATCAGCTAAGGCCTAATGCAGACACTTTATAAACTACAAAAACAATGGACATTGTTTGACTGTTGGGAAATCTACTGCTTGTACTTCCTTTAATCAAGCCTTGAGTTTTTTAGTAAAAAGATTCAAGCCACCTAGCGTGGATGTAACAGTATAAAAGTGGATCACACTATAAGCATAAGCTATGACATTTTGTCCCCCTATTAAAAGAAAACTGAAGGGAATATAAGAAGCCATGGTGGAGGACACCAGGTACCAGAAAGGGTCCATGGGGAGCTTCTGGGGTGCAGGAAATACCTATTTGAAGATCTGGGTGATAGCGACATGAGCACATTTACTTTGTGAAAATTAACTGAGCCCTCCATTTATGATCACATTTTTCTGAATGTCTTCTCTACTGTAATAAAGAGTTTACGTAAACAAAAATCTGATGGGTTTTGTTGAGGTAGGCAGTCAAAGCAATGAAAACAATTATTCCTTGATTCAACAAACATTTTCTAGTGCCCATTTGGTACTCAGTGGTAAACACAGACTTTGAACATTCATAGAAATTAGTAGGTCAGGGGCCACATGGCCTGACTTCAAGGAATCTAAAGCCAGTTACCATATAAGTTTAAAATACTCAATGTAAATACCCATATTAGGTTTTTAGTTGTGGCGTAGGCGCCATAATATTATAAGATGTGAATGTTAAGGGAAACTAACTGAGGAGTATGTGGGAATTCTCTGTGCAGTGGTTGCAACTTTTCTGCAAACCTAACCCCACTCGAAGCATAAAATTACAATTAAAAAATACTCAAAGAACGACTGTGAGGGGTAGATTGTTTTGGGGTCAAGAGAATCAGAAGCAACTGTGTAGAAGGAAAGATGTTTGCACAGGGTCTCAAAAGAAGAGTGAGATCAGAATGAAGGGAAGCGATAAAGAGGTTTTTCTAGACAGGGAAACATGATACAAGAAACTGTGGAGAGTGTAGAAGGACAGCAAAGGGTTCTGTCAGGCTGGTGTCCTGGGCATAAAAGAGGAGAGGTGTGGAGTACAATCAGACAGGCAGAGGGCCTTAAAAGCAAACCAGAAAGAGCCTGAAACTTTAAAAGTTAACTGATACACATTAAAAAGCTCTGAATTGCTGTTGAAATCCATTATTTTACAAGAAAAGATAAATATGTTAATTTGAAAACAGATAAGAATTAATATACTCAAAGCATCTCGCCAAGTCCATGTACATCTTCTACAGAGCTAAAGGAATTGAGTCATAACATTTATGGAACATTTGTGATGTGCCTGGTGCTTTATGTCTACTCTCTTATTTAATCATCCTAAGATTCTTATGAAGCAGCTGTTCCTATTTTATCTTACAGATAGAAAATCGAGAACTTGTTTGTTTCCAATAAATACAAAAGAGTCATAAATATAAAAAATAGATACAGCCACCTGAGATCTTGTTTGTTTCCAACAAACACGAAGTCATAAATGTCAAAAATAGATACAGGACTTCATGCCAGAATGTGTGCTTCCGTGGTTGAAATGGAACTCTGAGTTGGAAATATGTTTACTTTTACATTTTATTTAAATTTATTTAACTGAAAAGAAAGTCATCTGGGACTAATTTAAGTTCTTCAAGACATAATGGTCTTGATAAACCCATTTATCAAGTGTGTTTTATGGAATAATTCAGACAAGCGTGTTTGGCAAGGGATAATTATCACACAGAGTACCAAAAGCTGATAAAGTCTGGCCTACACAGACTAGACGCAGTACAAGAGAGCACTTTTCCAGTTCAGTTGGAAACGTGTCTTGTGGAGTCAGAGACAACACAGCTATGCTGCATGGACTGTAGGATGAACATTCTGGCTCTAAGCTGTGAATATTTCCAAGTAGTTCCAAAGAAAAGGATTTAACCTTCCTATCTTGGGGTTTCTAGAAGCATCATAATTTGCCTTTAAAGCCAAGTTTCTATGTATTTGAGAGTCACATGGCTCAATAGTTAGTAATGTCGTTTTCTTTCCCTGCTAAATACTTGGATCAGATGCACTGAAAAAAGAAAGTTTTATTTTTGACTTTTGGTCATTCCCTTATAATGCAGAAATGAAAAGTTCATCAAAGATCTATAGTTTTCACTGAGAATTTCCTACCTTTGGTTTTGTCTAAAACTCCCCCACCACCACCACCACCCTCTCCAGTAAGCCACATAGCAGTTTTTCCTCTCTTTATAACTGTTGAAAGAGAATTAAGTTCCTGAGTGGAAATTTTGCTTTCCTCTAATTCCTGACAGACAGTGCTCTACACCTGACAGCTACAAGGTAGGAAGGCAGCTGAGTTAACAAAGAAGCATTTTGTTCTCAATCTTGCCATGCAGTATCACAGGGTGTGATGAAAACTGGAACAAATATGGAAATCAGAGAGGTGCCAGAACATTACATTTAAAAAATGGAATTATTTGAGTCAATCTGGAATGTCTGGTTCTTTTGGTTTCGGCCTCATGGGTAGCATTGTGCTTCAAAAACAACTTGAATTGGCTACCAGGATTCCAGAAGGGTAACATAATCCTGCACCTTGGTGGAGAGATGCTTATCTTTGTCTACCGTAGGCAGAAAGAGGCTGGATGCATCCACCTTTTCATATTTCAAAATGAAAAGTGTTCAAATAAGTTCCCAACCTGAATGGAATTTGGAAACAAGAGTGGGAGGAAGAACTTACTCAGGTCTTTTTGGATTGTGCACATTTTTGTTTGAAATCATTGCCCCACCACGAGCCAATACCCTTTACAACTACAGAAATATGGAGTTTGGGGGAGATTCATCCTCACCACTTCCTCTTCTGTGATTTGGCATTTAGAGAAAAGATCCCAGGAAAGGTTAGTAATCCAAATACAGCACTCAGACCTCCTGAGGACACAGAGACACTTAAATGAGACCCAGGAGCTGGCAATGGCTCAACTCCTCTTCCAGAAAAAGCAGCCTGGAACCCAGTAACCTCAGCCTGTTACAGCCATGCTGCTACCTCTGCAGAGGCTTCACTGAGGACATTGAACGCGGCAGGTCTCACTTCACTCTTGTCACCAATATACAAAGTTGTAGGGGTGTGTCTGACCTCGATAAAATGTTGGAGAAAACCAGAGGGAATTATAACATATGACGGAAGGAATTTTAAACTGTGTCATCCAACAAGGGGGAAAACATCCCCATCAAGTTCAGGAGACACACCCAAGCTCCTGACCTTGTTGACTTGTCCCATAGTGGGAAAGAATCCCCAGGCTCTTTAGGGACTTAGGGCCTCATCCCCTGAGAGTTGGTCTAACTGCAGCATTCTTCATGTACCTGCTGTAACACACACCTTCATGCTTGACCTGTCCAGCTTAAAGGAGTCTAATGTTTTTTGTTTTGGGTTTTTTTTTTTAAAGATTTATTTATTTATTTATTTGAAAGTCAGTGTTACACACCAGAGAGAAGGAGAGGCAGAGACAGAAAGAGAGAGAGGTCTTCCATCCACTGGTTCACTACACAACTGGCCTCAACAGCCAGAGCTATGCTGATCCGAAGCCAGCAGCCAGGAGCTTCTTCCGGGTCTCCCACACAAGTGCAGGGGCCCAAGGACTTGGATCATCCTCTACTGCTTTCCCAGGCCATGCAGAGAGCTGGATCAGAAGTGGAGCAGCCAGTACTCGAACCAGTGCCCATACAGGATACCAGCACTGCAGGTGGCAGCTTTAACCTCTACAATAAGATTGTCTAATCTAGTACTTTTCAGTATGCACCATGAACATAAATGACCTGAGTAAGGCTGACATTGTACTTCTGGCAAATTCCCCATGGATAATACCACTGGTATGCAGCCCACACTCTGATTAGCAAAAATACACATTCAGTATTCAACTTTCTTCAATTGCACCAAAATACTTTTCTAGTTCTTTTTTTCTCCCCCATTCTGATTCGAGGTGAGAGACATGCATTACTATGAATAGTCATGTCTCTGTAGGTAGAGATTGTGAACATTGTGAACATTATATTGGTGGTTTTCTTAGTTACAAAATCAAGTATTGAGATTTCCCACTGTTAGAACTGGCCCTGCATTGAATGCTGGGTGAAGACCACTGTCCCCCACGGTCTCAGTAATAGATGGACAGAGAAGAGAGTGATGTCTCCACCAGTCACTTCTAGAAGCAGCTCCAGGGGCTGACACTGTAAATTGCTGAGGTGGGGAAAGTGGACAGGTGAGCTTCTGTTATGTGTGGGTTTTTTTTGTTTGTTTTTTTTTTTTTTTTTTACACAAACCACACACATTTGCCATCAGCAACGTGGTGCCTACCTCCAAATTGAAGCACAATAGTTAAAAACAGCTTCAAAGAACTTTTGCTGTTCTTATTCCCAGACTGAAAGATCTTATCCATTCTCTCCAGAGAGATTAGAGTCAGTGCTACACACAAGCCTGGTGCACACCCAGGTGTACAAACTTCCTTTTCTATTTTCCACAGTTTAGATCGATGTAAGCTCTTCTAGAATAACTCTCCTAAGAGTTCCAAGCAAGACGGCCATGGAGACCTGTAATTCTCCACATCCCACTGCTCCGTCCAGGGTGGGCTCTGCAGTCTCCTCACTGGCTTAGTGTGCCCGTAAGTACTGAACTTGGCTATGTATTTACAGTCTTGACTGAGGCAAGGGCTGCCTAGAAGAAGGATGCTAGATTGTTCCTCCTGGTCAGCTGAGCACTGACTCTCCCCGGAAGAATCGGGATGCAGGATAGGCGATTTTTTTTAATTGATGGGGAGGTGTGAGTTATGAGTCATAAGGACTTGTCCAGGTAGGAGGAGGAGCAGAGTGAACCCAGAGAAGCAGGAAGCACGGGAGGCGGTACTGAAGGAGGACCGAGAAGTTCCACGTTCACCAGCCTTACATGGTTTTCTCACGGTCCACACAGTGTGTGCCCAGGCAGCAGGGGCATTATTTCACAGAATGACAAACAATCCAAGATTAGATGTAGTTACATTCAGGATCCCACCTCCCAGTCCAACATAACATGCTCCCTACATTTTATAGGACTATTTTATCCTCTCCTGGAGAGTTTCCTGTGTGGGCCAACGACATGTCTACATTCTTACAGCAGGCGTGAACACCACCAGCTGACAGTTATTGATGTTCTCAGCACAAGACAAGCGCCATAGCAAGGACAAGAATTCAGCCATTTAATCGGCACAACACTCCTTAGAAGGTGGTTCTAGCACAAGTGCCATTTTACAGACGATGACACTGAGGCACTGGGAGACTTATTAACTATCCTGAAAGTACTTATTTCTAATCTGGACCCAAGAAGTAGAGTTCCAAGGCTAGTGATCCAAACAACTTCTCTAACATGTCTCCTACAGAGGCACAAAACAAAGCAATTGCTGCCCTACGGAAGTTTAAATCCTGAAATATGCAGCACACATCAATTATATACTCACTCAACTTACAGCTTTTAAAATTTATAATGCCTTGCAGTGTACTTGTCTTTAGAATTCCTTGCCTTGATTTTCTGCTTTTCCTATTTTCTGTGTTTTGCTTGTGGTGGGCTCAGCAAAGACCTCCTGGGGAAAGACATGTGCCAGAAAGGAAAGATAAAGATTCCTTTCATAACTCACCCATGACAGGGAGCTTCCCCAAGGCTGCAGGTGGGATTTGAGAAGGGATTTATGAGGGGAGGGATGAAGCAAGAGACAGCTTTTTGGACAGAAGCTGGAAAGTTTGCTGAGACAGACAAACACCCAAAGGTAGCTCCAAGTCCAGCCATTTGTGAACACACTGGGGTTGTACCCTTGAAGCCCTTCTTGCCACATTCTTCTCACCGATTCCCACCACCCTAATACCCACCCACCACCCCCCCTCAGTCTTGCCTCCTGTTGGGGAAGAACACGGAGCTGAGCAGGTAAGAACTTCCTGTCTCTCGCTCACACTGCTCTCTGCCCCTCGTTCCATCCCTGCCTCCTTCCTCCTGTCTCAGAGGAAAAGTCGCCCCTCCAAGGTGAGCCCTTCCCTTTGTATTTGAAACCCCGTCTGCTGCATCCTTCATATTCTGGGCTTCCATTGCCTCCTTCCTCTCGGCTTATGTTTATGCTGAAATCTCTCTTCCTGAAATCTAAAAGCTGCCCACAGCCATGCCTCCTTGGGGGGGCTTTCTCTTCTTCCTTCTCAAAGACAAGTTCTTCATTCCTCACCTCCACTCCTCCCTCAACAGGGCACAGCCTGGCCCCCACCTCCAGCACCATTGACAATGCCCTCATGGTGATCCCCGGGAACTTCGTGGCAGCCATTTCCCGAGATCCTTTTCCCCTCACCTGTCTGCAACAGCGGACTCCAAGGACCACCTCCTTACAATTTCTTCTTGCTTGCTTTCTGGGTCGGAACTGTCTCTCCCTTCTCTTCCCATCCAGATAATCCAGCTCAGTCTTTCTTCAGAGGAAGTTCTGTTTCTTGGTGTTTCCCAAGGTTCTGTCTTTAACTCTCATTTCAATCAACACATTTTCTCTGGGAAATCTAAGCTGCACCCTCAACTTTAGCTGCCAACTGTACCCTTAATCACTTGTCCCACTGCCACCCTGATGCAGGGGCCCCTACCCCTTGTTGGAGCTCTATACTGCCTCACCCCACTCTCTTACTTTCTACTCACTTTTTTTTAAGAATTTTTTTTTAATTTATTTGAAAGAGTTACAGAGAGAGAGAGAGGGAGGGAGAGACAGAGAGAATTCTTCCACCCTCTGGTTCACTCCCTAAGTGGCTGCAATGGCCAGGGCTTGAGGCAGGCTGAAGCCAGGCGCTTCATCCCACATAGATGGCAAGGGCTCAAGCACTTCGCCACCTTCCACCAAGTGCCAAGGCTCATTAACAGCAAACTGAGTTGGAAGTGGAGCAGCTTTGACTTGAACCAGTGCCCTTATGGGATGATGAAGCTGCAGGTGGTGGCTCGACCTGGAACGCCACAACCCTGGCCCCTCTGCTCACTCTTGAGTTCACCTTAGTTAGTCTGTGAGCCCCAGAACTTTGCTCAAATTGTACATGTCAAGATCCTACCAATAGCCTCCTTGTTACCAAATCTGATGGTCAGATCTTAGACCTTCCTTTATTTAAGCTCTCAGGGAATCTAGAAAGTATTGATTACTCCTCCCATCTTAAAACTGCTTAAAAAAAAAAAAAAACTACTTTTGAGGTACTGCCATCTCCTATTGTTATCTGACCCACTGATAGCTCCTCCTTCACTACCCACCCTCTACCCATGGACATGACCAAAATGTCAGGCCTTAGGCCTATTCTCAGTCCACCCTCACTCTCTGGTGACTTCATCCAGTGTTGTGGCTCTAAGTACTGTCTCTGAGATGATGATTTCCAAATTGATAAACCTAACCTCAACCTTTCCATTTTGGTTCCAACTTAAATTCCAACATTCCAACTTAAATCCAAACCAAAATACTTTCCACCACCACTCCCCAAACCTGCTCTGCTGTACCTCAGTAGGTCATACTCCTGATTATCTAGTTCCTGAGGCCAAAATTATGGGAGTCAGCTGAGATTTTGCTTTATTTACCATGCAAGCAATTCCCTTGGCAAGTCCTATTGTTATACCTTTTAAAACTACCAACATTCAACAACCACACCACTTCCCATCACCTCCTTAGTCTAAGCCACCATCATCTCCTGCCTGAATTATGTCACTGGCTTCCCAACTAGTCCACCTTCTTCGACCCTTTATGCCCCCAGTGACTCGACATAGCAGCTGTGATCTTTAAAAGCTTAAGTCACCTTCTAACCCTCGAATGGCTTCTCACTACACTAGAATGAAATAGAAATTCTTCATCATGGTCAATAGCACACACATTACAAGATCTGTTCCCTGGCAGGCGTCGTGGCTCAATAAGCTAATCCTCCGCCTTGCGGCACCAGCACACTAGGTTCTAGTCCCGGTCGGGGCGCCGGATTCCGTCCCGGTTGCCCCTCTTCCAGGCCAGCTCTCTGCTGTGGCCCAGGAGTGCAGTGCAGGATGGCCCAAGTGCTTGGGCCCTGCACCCGCATGGGAGACCAGGAGAAGCACCTGGCTCCTGCCATCGGATCAGCGTGGTGCGCCAGCCGCGGCAGTCATTGGAGGGTGAACCAACAGCAAAAAGGAAAAGGAAGACCTTTCTCTCTGTCTCTGTCTCTCTCACTGTCCACTCTGCCTGTCAAAAAAAAAAAAAAGGATCTGTTCCCTGCCCACCTCTCCAAGATCATCTTCTACCACTCTCCTGTTGCTTGCTTCTCTCTAGCCAAATTAGGCTTCTTGTTGTTCCGTCAACATTCTAAACTTATTTTTCTCTGCATTTGCTGTTCCCTTTGCTGATACTGCTTTTCCTTGCACTCAAACCTTTGCAGGGTTCACTCTGTAATTCTGTGCACCTGTCACCCTCTCATTGTGGTGTTCCCCTGGGCACCTTTTCTAAAATACCTATTCCATCCCCAGCTCCCCATCACCCTGGACCTCTGTATCCTCCTCTGTTTGCTTTGTAGCGCTTACAATTCACAAAACCATACTTTATACTTCCTTGTTTACTTAATTCTGATTTAGCCCATTAGATTATCAGTTTTATGAGAATAAGGACCTTAAAGGATTCAACATTGTCTCCTCAATGTCTGCTATATTTTAAATACCTGCTCAATGCTAACTGGAGAAGTGAATATGTTCTGACAAGTCCAAAATCCTTTTCAACCTTTTTCGCTGATGTTGTCTGTCTTTGAACCACATCTCCAAAAGAGAAGCCAACATCAGCATGCTGAAAACTGACTCGCCTCGTCCCATTGCCCTCCCCAAGCTGCTTTTACAGTCATCCCTAAGCTTACCTAACAGTGCTGCCATTCACCTAGGCCCCCAAGACAGGCCTGGCTGTCACTATAAATGTCATCCTCTCCCTCATCCCATTCTGTCACTAAATCTTGTCATTTCTACTTTATCAGATTGTGTTTTCAGTGGCAAATAGTGCAGAGCAACTTCCGAAATTAGTTGGGGGTGATCCCCACACCTGGGTCCCTTGCCCAACACACATCACAGTTGTAGTGGTGGCGGAAGAAGTAGGGATTTACTGCAGAGCACAGAGCAAGAAGCCAGGCAGCTATTTCCCAGGCTCCCCAAGTTAGGGGTGAAGGTTCATGTAGATTCAGGTTGGAGCTGAGACATACAAGTTCAGCTCCTGTCCAAGTTCCTGGTTGGGCAGTGGTACTCATGCCCCTCCT